TATTTTTATATCAAGTGATCACTGTAAAAGAAGGAAAAACAATTGAAGATGAATTAGAAGTAACCGAAGGAATGCGATTTGATCGCGGATATATTTCTCCATATTTCATAACTGATACTAAAACTCAAAAAGTTGAACTTGAAAAGCCTCTTATCCTTCTCTCCGAAAAGAAAATTTCTATATTACAAGATATTCTTCCAAGTTTAGAAGCTGCTGCTCAACAACGTAGACCACTTCTTATTGTTTCTGAGGATGTTGATGGTGAAGCTTTAGCTGCTTGTATATTGAATAAACTTCGTGGAAATCTTCAGGTAGTTGCTGTTAAAGCTCCTGGATTTGGTGATAACCGTAAATCTATCCTTGGCGATCTAGCAACTTTGACTGGTGGTACCGTTTTTTCAGATGACTTGGATATAAAACTGGAACGCGCTTCACCAGAACATTTTGGTTCTACAGGTTCTGTTACTATTACAAAAGAGGATACCATTCTTCTTAATGGTGAAGGATCTAAAGAAAATATTAATCAGCGCTGTGATCAGATTCGTGCTGCCATTAATGATCCGACCGTTTCTGACTATGAAAAAGAAAAATTACAAGAGAGACTTGCAAAATTGTCTGGAGGTGTTGCTGTTATTCGTGTGGGTGGTTCTTCAGAAGTTGAAGTTAACGAAAAAAAAGATCGCTTTGTTGATGCTTTGAATGCCACACGTGCAGCCGTTGAAGAAGGAATTGTACCTGGTGGTGGTGTTGCCCTCTTGAAATCCACCAGATGTTTAGATTCCTTAAAACCCGTAAATTTTGATCAACAATTAGGCGTGAATATCGTAAAAACTGCTCTTCAAAAGCCTGCGAAAACCATCGTTGACAATGCCGGTGAGGAAGGTTCAGTAGTTGTAGGTAAACTATTAGATGATCAAGAAAATAATTTCAACTATGGTTATGATTCTGCCGCTAGTCAATACGGTGATATGATTGCACGTGGTATTGTGGATCCATTAAAAGTCGTAAGAACTGCACTTGTTGATGCTTCTGGTGTTGCAAGTTTACTAACAACAACAGAATGCATGATTACTGATGCACCTGGTTTGTAAATTTGGTTTTTACATTTTTCTTGTCTTATTTAGTGAGTCTAATCTAAAATTATTTGATTTGCAGATGAAAACAAAGGTGCTGGTGCTGGTGTTGGTGCTGGCGCTGGTATGGGAGGAATGGGAATGATGTGATAGATAAAAAAAAAAAAAAAAGAAAAAAAAAGAAAAAAAATTTTCAGAATAACATGTAAAATAAAACAATAAATTCATTTCATATTATATAACAATCATATTCTCAGTCTCTGACTTTAATTAAAAGGCGATCAAATAAAATAAAATAAAAGTGCTTTCGATTTATTTGAAGATTTTATTTGAAATAAATATTTTATAAATATTTCGATGTGCAATATTACTAATTTAACTTTGATAGAAAGTATATAATATCTATAATATTAATTTACAAATTTTTTATAGCTTATGGACGAAATACACATATATTGCTATTCCTGGATCATTTATTTTTTGGATAGTTTTTTATTTTTGTTTATGGGATGATTGCGCCACGATTTAACATTTCAGAAGAATATTATGGTGTTATTCCTAAATTATTCACAAGCCCTATATTTTATTTATTCATCGTGGTTGTTCCAGTTATATGTTT